CTGTTTTTTGAAAATGCTGTATGCACAAAATTCATTCAAATGAAGATCCACAATTACGAGGGAAACATCTGCAGCCAGACGCCTAGCCATCTGTCACATTCACAGCCTTTCAATCATACTAAATATCTATTTGGTTATTAGTTTTAATTTGCTCGATGTAGACCTACATGCATCAACATCACGGGGGGGGGGAAATAACTAGAGGTTCGCGTTTGTTGTTACAAACGCAGAGTGGTCGGGTAGACAACTATTTTATGAAACACTGTCCAGTTAACGGGAACATGTAATAGGATTTATATGACTTAAATACATTTAAAACAGCTTTCTTGCCATGTAACTATGAAGTTTCCACCTCCTCGGAAGCAGTAAAAAAGAGAAATTTCAACATTTTAAGTTTCAAAGTTTTTATGCTAATGAAAATTTCCATATTCATGAGCCAAAGCGTGATGTCATTCAAGGTAGAACCGTCTCCATAGCTTTGTGTATACAAATATATATCAAAGTTTTCTTCATTTTCTTGGAGTAAATTCCGCTTTTTATTGTTTATCATGTAAAACAGCTTATTTGGACAATCGTAGTGGCAAATATTTCTTCAAAAAATAATGTTGTGGGTAATTTTGAAGGACTTATTTTTGTACTGTTCATAACGCACCTTTGGCAAGGAGTACCTTGTTTGACAAAAGCAAAATAGCGCCCTCTTATATATTGATGAAAGGATTTACTAATAATTTAAAAAATACCACTTTCTTGTCACTTCCAAAGAAAACAAGTATTAAGATCTTGTATGTATTGTTGCAACACATAGTAATGTGCATGAAAACAAGATGAGCTGAATTTCCACTGCATGTTTCCTTTAAGTTATGAACTCTCTCACCCTGGTATTGGATCATTTGCATGTGCAAGATTTTTGAACACGTATGCAAATGAGGAATAGTCTGGCGCCTACACGTGCGTTACATTAGCGTTTGTTTTTGTATGCGGTGTCTGGGGTAAAAACAACATCAATTCGTCGCGCTGTAAGTCATGAAAACACATTTTTTTTTAAAGTTAAAATGTTACGATCTGGCCCGCCAATTTGCAGTATTACATTTCAGGTTAATAAAAGCAAACTTGAAAGGAAAGGAGTATTTTTGAGAAGGCGTGGATGTTTTAATTACAATGATCGTGAAAACACGTAATGCACGTTGGATATAACAACACCAACTACACGGTAAAAATCCATTACTAGCAAAATGCGGTATCGAATCAGGATACAGGGAGAAAGTTTCCTATCCAGGGCTTACTATTGGAAACCAGGTTGGAAATAAAGTAAGCAATGGGGACGAGGTTGAATAGTGGGACTAAAAGAAAAAAATTATAAATAGCAAAAAATTAAAAATTGACAACCTTTTTGGCACTTGAAAGAATACACCGAAAACAATATCGTCAAAAGTCGTGATTAATCCTAAGCCTTCTTAGGAAATATTGTCCCCCTCCAACCTTCAAGGACTGGAATGCATTATCATCACTTGCAATCTCATCCTCATCATTGAATGTATTGTATATTTAATCTGGCCTTAGCAAGTACAAGTACTAACTTAAACAGTAGGCCCTATATAATTTCGTCTAGAAGATCCTATTGCTAGCGCATCGCAAGTTTGCGCTACAGTGCAGGCGACGTTTGTCTGCCCATAACAAATCATTCATCTATATATCCCGGTGGTAGATCATCATCGATAGATTACTAGGATGTTGAGTGTCTCCGTACTTTTGCCTGTATTTGTCTTGAAAAAAGTGTATGAAACAAGCCGTTGCTGATTTGAAGATAATACATGTTTGCGAAATAGCCCGAATGCCTATCGGTCGCGTATAAAACTTTGAGGCATCTTGATCTTCACTTTCTCTTAATTCTCGTAACCTTTTAAAAAGCCTCCCTTTCGGACTCGAACTCGAGGGATTTCTTGGGGGGGCCCTCACTCTTTCCGAAGCCATCGCCCAAAAATGGGGCACTGTTTTTTTGAAAATCCTGTATGCACAAAATTCATTCAAACGAAGATCCACAATTACGAGGGAAACATCTGCAGCCAGACGCCTAGCCATCTATCACCTTCACAGCCTTTAAATCATACTAATTATCTATTTGGTTATTGGTTTTAATTAGCTCGATGTAGACCTACATGCATCAACATCACGAGGGGAAAAATAATCACCATTTTTCGTAGTCTGGTTCCCAGACCAAAAGATTCTGACTATTCCTGATGAATCTTAGGTCAGGCAGCCTCCGTGGCTAAAAATAAACATGACGACATTGACAACCTTTTTCGAAGCTCGGCTTCGTTTCCGATTTCGCTTTATCACTTAAAGCTTTTAATGTTCCGTCCGATCAAATTTTTTGAAAGAAATCACTTGCTTCATATATCATACAGTTATGATATACAGTTTTATAATTCTGTAAAAAAACATTCACTAATTTTCACCTGGAATCTTCCAAGTTAGACACCCAAATAGCACTGTTCGCAGGCGGAGCCGAATTGAGACCACGCCGAGTTTTGGAAAATGCCAGTAACGGTCGTCAAATTCAAACTAGTACATGACGCAACAAAAAGTTCGCCCTCGTATACGATCCGAGTACAAAATCGTTGTTGAATTTCAAGTTTTCTAATTGAAAGCAATGGATATTAATTATGAACTAGTTTTTTAAGTTTTTAATAAGCAATTAGCAGTTAATAAAACCTATATTATGCTCGGAAATGCTCGGGCACTATCCGATTGTCGACGAAATGAATTCGGCAAACTTCGGACATTTTCGGAAAAAGAGGAATTCCTCCCGTTTTAGTCACGTGACATAAATTGTATTACAATGTATTACCGGAGGCTACCGGACCTAAGATTCATTGGAAATAACAACACCAACTACACGGTAAAAATCCATTACTAGCAAATTGCGGTATCGAATCAGGATACAGGTAGAAAGTTTCCTATCCAGGGCTTACTATTGGAAACGAGGTTGGAAATAAAGTAAGCACTGGGGACGAGGTTGAATAGTGGGACTAAAAGAAAAAAATACAAATAGAAAAAAATTAAACTTACTTACTTTTTTTATCTTAACTATTCCTGCTCCACCTGTTCATATTGTCAATGAATTAAATTCTCTGTTTTTTTAATTTATTTGGGGCGGTAATGACAGGGTTTTTAGTAGAAATCAAATGGTTCAAGATTATAGCGAAGGTGGGCTGCGTATGATAGACGTTAGGGATTATATGTATGCATTGAAAATTACTTGGCTACGCAAACTCCTGGCTGCTGACCAGAATTGTGGTTGGGGTTTTTTTACACCGTAAGATTATGGGAGTCTCTTCTATGCTCTCTTTCGAAGGAGGTTCTTTGCAATATACCAACAAAGAAACCTTGGAAAAGCACCCCTTTTGGATGGATGTCCTTACATCGTGGTCTAAATTTACCCAAGCTCACATTCCGGTGACTGCTGAAGATGTTCTATTGAATACGCTGTGGCATAATGATCAAATCGAGGTGTGCAAAAAATGCATTTATTACAAGCATTGGGAGTCTGCAGGAGTCAATTACATTTTTGATCTTGTTGACGACAAAGGTACATTTCTGTCATTTAATGATTTTAGAAGGAAGTTTAAGATGCGAACTAATTTCCTGGAATATGGAGGTGTAGTTAGAGCTATCAAGCTAGCCTTTCCGGAACTGTTGGATTTAGAAACACGCACAGTTAAATTCCCTTTTATTCCATTTAATTTCAAGATTCTTTTGATGGACAAAAAAGGTTCCCGTAGAATTCTCAAAGTGCTGGCCTCAACCAGGAAAGTAGTTCATAAATTTATTTCCAAATGGAACAATAAGTTACAAACAGACTTTAGCTTTTTATTTCTAAATGGTCGTTGATTTTGAATATTCCTTTCAATTGCACTGTAGATACTAGGCTGAGATGGTTCCAATACAGACTAATTCATATAATTCTCGGTACGAAACACTTTCTGTTTAAAATCAATAAGTCCACGACGAACCAATGTACATTTTGTAAAAATGAAGATGAAACTCTTACCCATCTCTTTTGCTCATGTGTTTACACAGTCTCATTTTGGGGTTCAGTGGTTTTGTGGATCAAGGACAAAACCAAATTTACCATTACCCTAGATAATGAAATGTGTTTGTTTGGCAAAGCTGACTTTGAGTGCAAAGTTTAACTTAATTTTATTAATTTGCCGTTTCCATATTTATAAAATGAAAATGATTGAGAAAGTGCCCTCTTTCCTGGTTCTAAAAAAGAATGTGAAGAACTACTACTCCGTGGAAAAATATATGTTTATTTGTAATGATAATGTTGAGAAATTTTACTGTAAATGGGATTCCTTTTCTGCACTTTTCCAAGAGTAATTGTTTGAATTGCCATGTTTTGGGTTTGTATGAACTCCTATTTAAATGTGCTTATGTTTAAATATGATTTGTTATTGTTGAAAATAAAGAGTTATCCCCCGGGATAAAAAAACACGTGAAAGAATACACCGAAAACAATATCGTCAAAAGTCGTAATTAATCCTAACCCTTCTTAGGAAATATTGTCCCCCTCCAACCTTCAAGGACTGGAATGCATTATCATTACTTGAAATCCCATCCTTATCATTGAATGTATTGTATTTTTAATCTGGCCTTAGCAAGGACAATACTAACTTAAACAGTAGGCCCTATATAATGTCGTCTAAAAGATCCTATTGCTGCCAAGCGCATCGCACGTTTGCGCTACGGTGCAGGCGACGTTTGTCTGCCATATATGAAAATACACCATGCCCATAACAAATCATTCGTCTATATATCCCGGTGGTAGATCATCATCGATAGATTACTAGGATGTTGAGTGTTTCCGTACTTTTGCCTGTATTTGTCTTGAAAAAAAGTGTATGAAACAAGCCGTTGCTGATTTGAAGATAATACATGTTTGCGAAATAGCCCGAATGCCTATCGGTCGCGTATAGAACTTTGAGGCATCTTGATCTTCACTTTCTCTTAATTTTCGTAACCTTTTAAAAAGCCTCCCTTTCGGACTCCTCACTCTTTCCGAAGCCATCGCCCCAAAATAGGGCACTGTTTTTTTTTGAAAATCCTGTATGCACAAAATTCATTCAAACGAAGATCCACAATTACGAGGGAAACATCTGCAGCCAGACGCCTAGCCATCTGTCACCTTCACAGCCTTTAAATCATACTAATTATCTATTTGGTTATTAGTTTTAATTAGCTCGATGTAGACCTACATGCATCAACATCACGGGGGGAAAATAATCACCATTACTTGCTTAGCCCGCCCCTTATGGACCCCAAGTCAAATGAGGGCGCACTATACCGTGCTTCGACAGAGTTGACCGCTGCATTTAATTTCGTAATTATCCCAATAAATGTCTTAAGATAGTTGTCACAAAGTGATACTTGGTTTTTAATCGAAATGACTCTTTAAACTGACAAAACACTAATTTATTTTTAGGGGTCTACAATTTCTGAGTTCGGTTAAACGGAAGTGGTTTAGAGAAACACAATTTATTTTCCTCGGGACCGCCACACCCAACTACATGTATTTCTAGAATTAGTTATTGAACCATCAAAGAATGGGGCAGTCAACTCCAGTAGAGTTGTCATTGGTAAGTGTATTGGTACTTTGCATAAATTTAAGTGTTGAATATTCATTTAGCCAAGTGAATGCATTTATTGAATTCTTGGGCCTTAGTATGTAGCATTGCTGAAATGTTTTTCTCCGGGTTTATAAGCAAAACGAGTTTGGAATGGGGCAGATTTTGAGATGAGATTCCGAGGAGAGGGCAGAGACCAGCCTCGATGATTTTGAGAAATAATTTGTGAGAAATTTTTGATATGGAGAAGCCAAAGGAGAGGGCTCAGCCAGCCTACGGCATTAGTATATTTTAAGCTTGAGCTAGTAAGAGCCAAGCCGCTGAAACCTTGGACAAGCTAGGAATCACCCACATTCCTGTAAGTTTATTGCATTATTTGTTTATTTTACAAACCTTTAAATGGATATTTGGCACATTTGTATGTAGAAAGAAGAAGAATTTGATATACTTTGCTGAGATTTAACAATCAAATATTTGTGTTGTTCATATCAGTAAACTTAAAGGAAAATGTAATTATCGATGAAAAAAGATTGTGTGGATCTGCAAAGAAAATATTCCTGCGATTAGTGCTGATTTATAACAGTTGTGGTTATTGAGACATTGGGAAATGTTATCATTGTAAACTATTTGTTGGCTAGAATCCACCTAGTAGGAGTATAATTTGGATTGTAATTTCAGAGCTTTTGGGGGTTGAGAATAGTGCAACCTTTGACCAGAGGACCAGAAGCGACAGGGCAGGACCGCAGCGGCGGACAAGTTACGGACCATCACAGGCGCTACTGATCATACCCCAAGATCCCAAGATCAAGATACACCGGGACGGACGCATCGAGTATTAATGATTGTATACATTGTTGATAATTATTTTGGGGATTTTGAAGAAGAGACCAAACCTTTGCGTTGAAACGTTGAAATATAAATAAATTGTACATAATATAAATATAAGGAAAAGTGCGTCACACCCTTATTTTATTTCTGAATGCCATTGGTCAGTTAAATTATCAGGGGACTACTGAAGGTCCTGCGAAAGGAGCAGTGGAGAGGAAAATATTTTGAGAGTTGATCAAAGGATGGAACATCATCAACAAAATATCGAGAGGCAAAAAAACAAAAACAAACAAACAAACAGGTATAGGACACAGTGAACATTCTGTTTGGCTATGTACGTTTTGGGCACACTAATAAAGTCTGTAGTACATTGGAAAGTGCTATAATCAAATTGTCATCATATTAAATTAAGTTGTGACCAAACTCTATTGATTCAGCAACATTATAAAAGAATATTGATTCACCGATGAAATAATAATGATCGTACGAAGCCCGGAAAGGGACAGGGTGGAAATGTTTTTTGTAATTTGCAAATTCGTTCCCACGAGTTGCTAACTCGTTCCCACGAATTACTATTTCGTTCGCACGAATTACTAATTCGTTCCCACGAATTGCTAATTCGTTCGCATGAATTGCTAAATCGTTCGCACGAGTTGCTATCTCGTTCCCACGATTTTCAAATTCGTGGGAACGAATTGATGACTCGTGGATCCGGAACGCATAGTAATTCGTGGGAACGAGTTGGTAATTCGTGGGAACGAATTAGCAATTCGTGCAAACGAATTAGCAATTCGTGCAAACGAATTAGTAATTCGTGCGAACGAATTAGCAATTCGTGCGAACGAATTAGCAATTCGTGCGAACGAATTAGCAATTCGTGCGAACGAATTAGCAATTCGTGCGAACGAATTAGCAAATAATAATAACCAATTTAGTCATTTACCATTCAATCGAATTCGTCTCATGTAAATCAATTAGCCTAATTTGATTTCTGAATTACAAGGTTTGACGCAGACGAGACGAAATCAAATACTCCGGGACGAAAACGAGTGCAATGGTTTTTTTTGTCCAATTTTTGTGAAATTTCATGTTGAAATTTTGATACGCAAACGTGTGCAAATGAATCTGGAAATTTCACAAAAAATAGACATCTGAAAAAGGCAGCACTTTCTGATTAGCCTATAAAGAGGGTGAGTGTGCTTGTAAAGCAAAAAAAAGTACAAACTAAGCCTAAATGTGAAAATCAAAATTTGACAAAGTTTGACACGTTTTTGTACATGTGGAAGTGTGGCCTATGTTTACGGAGGTAGTCCAGTAAATTGGCCACATTTATGGGGCTAGGCCTAGGCCTACTGAGCGCTAGTTGCAGGCCTATTCAGTGACATGTGTATCAATACATGCAGCCTCAATAGCGAATATCAGGAAATACTAACCACCTATTGTCGAATTACATTGAAATATCTTGGAAACCTCTGGTCAAAAACATGCCGGAGTCACGTCACGGCCGGATGCACACACAAACAACTCTCACTGTAAGAGCCAGAGTACGGAAGCTTGAATTGCCTTCCGCGATACTGCGTTACCGTGATAATTTATCGCAGAAATCCGGAATTCAAAGAAAATCCATTCCTCGATACCGCGTTACCGTGATAATTTATCACAAAAATCCGGAATTGAAAGATAATTCCTTCCTCGATACCGCGTTACCGTGATAATTTATCACAGAAATCCGGAATTCAGAGATACCTTTTCCTCGATACCGCGTTACCGTGATAATTTATCACAGAAATCCGGAATTCAAAGATAATTCCTTCCTCGATACCGCGTTACGGTGATAATTTATCACAGAAATCCGGAATTCAGAGATACCTTTTCCTCGATACCGCGTTACCGTGATAATTTATCACAGAAATCCGGAATTCAAAGATAATTCCTTCCACGGTATCGAGGAAGGATTTATCTCTTCATCTATACTTTCACTGGTATCGTATCTTTTGATGCACGAACTTTAACCAGCAGCCGAAAAATGTGGCAATTGATGGCTTTCCCTAAGATTTCAGGCAAAAAATGAAAATCCTTTGGATGTAGTCCAAGTTATTTTTTAATTAGAAAGCCCAAACAGACGTGCTGGTTGCCGTTCGCCGCAACGGCATCATGTACATGTACATGTATCAGTGACCCTAGAAAAGTTAACCAATCACAATATCACGCACTCTCCTTGACATGGATATTTATCACACAGTGTCGAAGACACATTTATTTTCCCTTACACATATTTCCCTTATATTAACAATTATCCCAACGATTAAATTGGAGAACACCGTACTAGTTGATGAAAAATGGGCATATAGGTGGATTTCGAACCAGAAATCTTGCGATCCATAGTTCACATCATCTCAGTATCCACGAGGCTCTGGAAGCTCAACGAGCCGTTCTTTGTATAATATGTAACTACAATGTAATTGACTATAAGTATAGGCTTTCCCGGCTATTTTAAAATATTTTTTATTCAAATTCACAAACTCTAACAATCAACTTCGCCCGAGAAAAATTTCACACGCTTTTAACAAAACCAAAAGTCATTTACCATTCAATTTCAAAGTTTGGTCACCCTCCTTGAGTCGCCGGGTCGAAAATATTCGTCATTACAGATCAAATTCATCTAAGCTGTTGCCGAATGTGCAGCATTTACAGATCGAATTCGTCTTAAATCAATTTGACGAATTTGATTTCTGAGTAACAAGGTTCGGCGTAGACGAGACGAAAATGAATACTCCGGGACGAAAACGTGTGCTCAATATTGTTTGAATTTGCTTGAACTGAATTTAAAATTGTCTGGCAAAAGACAAAATTCAACATTGGAAGTGCACTAAATCGATGTTGGTGGATAAATTTGACTATTAGAAACGGTGAATTCGAATGATAAACGTTTTAAAATAGCCGGGAAAACCTATAATAACAATATTGTGACGTCATTGTTGTTTTCTCATGAATAAACATAACTATCCCATAGAAATTACTGAATAATCATGACCCCTTCGGTAGATATCGTCAATGGTCAGTAGTTTGGATGGGGAGGTTATGTTTATTCATGAGAAAAGAACAACGACGGCACACCCTGATGTTAGTCAACTATCTTAAGACATTTACTGGGATAATTACGAAATTAAATGCAGCGGTCAACTCTGTCGATCTCTAAGCACGGTATAGTGCGCCCTCATTTGACTTGGGGTCACTCATGAACATAAGGGGCGGGCTTAGCAAGTAATGGTGATTATTTTTTCCCCCGTGATGTTGATGCATGTAGGTCTACATCGAGCTAATTAAAACTAATAATCAAATAGATAATTAGTATGATTTAAAGGCTGTGAAGGTGACAGATGGCTAGGCGTCTGGCTGCAGATGTTTCCCTCGTAGTTGTGGATCTTCGTTTGAATGAATTTTGTGCACACAGGATTTTCAAAAAAACAGTGCCCCATTTTGGGGCGATGGCTTCGGAAAGAGTGAGGGCCCCGTCTCCCTCCCCCCCCCCAAGAAATCCCTCGAGTTCGAGTCCGAAAGGGCGGCTTTTTAAAAGGTTACGAAAATTAAGAGAAAGTGAAGATCAAGATTCCTCAAAGTTTTATATGCGACCGATAGGCATTCGGGCTATTTCGCAAACATGTATTATCTTCAAATCAGCAACGGCTTGTTTCATACACTTTTTTCAAAACAAATACAGGCAAACTTACGGAAAGACTCAACATTCTAGTAATCTATCGATGATGATCTACCACCGGGATATATAGATGAATGATTTGTTATGGGCATGGTGTATTTTCATATATGGTTGCATCGGCAGACATCTTCTAGACGAAATTATATAGGGCCTACTGTTTAAGTTAGTACTGTACTTGCTAAGGCCAGATTAAAAATACAATACATTCAATGATGAGGATGAGATTGCAAGTGATGATAATGCATTCCAGTCCTTGAAGGTTGGAGGGGGAGTCCTTGAAGGTTGGAGTGTCGCACCCAAGGGGCGGGGGGGGGGGGGGCTCGGGGGGATTAAGCCCCCCCCCCCCAAAAAAAAGTTGTCAATTTTTATTTTTTTTCTATTTGTATTATTTTTTTTTTAGTCCCACTATTCAACCTCGTCCCCAGCGCTTACTTTATTTCCAACCTCGTTTCCAATAGTAAGCCCTGGATAGGAAACCTTCTCCCTGTATCCTGATTCGATACCGCAATTTGCTAGTAATGGATTTTTACCGTGAAGTTGGTGTTGTTATTTCCAATGTGCATTACGTATTTTCACGACCATTGTTATTAAAACATCCACGCCTTCTCAAAAATACTCCTTTCCTTTCAAGTTTGCTTTTATTAACCTGAAATGTAATACTGCAAATTGACAGGCCAGATGGTAACATTTTAACTTTAAAAGGAAAATGTGTTTTCATGACTTACGGTGCGACGAATTGATGTTGTTTTAAACCCCAGACACCGCATACAAAAACAAACGCTAATGTAACGCACGTGTAGGCGCCAGACTATTCCTCATTTGCATTCATTTGCATACGTGTTCAAAAATCTTGCACATGCAAATGATCCAATACCAGGGTGAGAGAGCAGGTATTCTTACATCAAAATATTCATAACTTAAAGGAAACATACAGTGGAAATTTAGCTCATCTTGTTTTCATGCACATTACTATGTGTTGCAACACTACACACAAGATCTTAATACTTGTTTTCATTGGAAGTGACAAGAAAGTGGTAGTTTTTAAATTATTAGTAAATCCTTTCATCAATATATAAGAGGGCGCTATTTTGCTTTTGTCACACAAGGTACTCCTTGCCAAAGGTGCGTTATGAACAGTACAAAAATTAGTCCTTCAAAATTACGCACAAAACAAATTTTTGAAGAAATATTTGCCACTTCGATTGTCCAAATAAGCTGTTTTACATGATAAACAATAAAAAGTGGAATTTATTCCAAGAAAATGAAGAAAACTTTGATATATATTTGTATACACAAAGCTATGGAGACACTACGGTTCTGCCTTGAATGACATCACGCTTTGACTCATGAATATGGATATTGTCATTAGCATAAAAACTTTGAAAATTTAAAATGTTGA